AAATCTCCGTCATACTGAGCAAAACGTTCGTTTTGCTTCGTCAATGGCGAGGCGCTGACGAACCTTTACGAAGATTTTTCTTCGTAAACGTTTGTCCTTGACGAAACAAAACGAAGGTTAATCTTCGTTTACCCTCGTCAATGACGAACGGTTACGAAGTTTTCTTCGTTTTGCTCCGTCACTGACGGACGTTTACGAAGGTTTTTCTTCGTTTTGCTTCGTCGTTCACGAACCAATAGAAAGGCAGTCCGTGGACTTTCTATGTAGATGTATGATTGGTCCAAAAATAATACAAAGAAAGTTTTTTGTTGAACAATCAACGTTACGTATAATTACGTCAAAGGATTATAAAGTGAGGTATAATGTGGATTTGTGTTCATTAAGGTAAACGTCAGTGTTTGTTTGCGTACCTTTTTGTCCCGGAAATAGAAGTGCGCGGTCATTTGATTGCTCTACGGTTTCCCTGTTGGTCTCCTTGTCGGTACGTCCATTATTCACTTCACACACCTCTTTTTGTGTAACCAGCGTTACGTAAGCGTTTGTGCAGTTAATATTTCATGTTCTAAAGATGCGTAGTCGTTTAACAAGACGTCGTTGTTCGTTTGCGTTACCTTCTGCACGCACATTGAGAATGCGATTGCTGCTTTTGCGTAGACTCGCAGAGCGTGAGGCATTCAGTGAGCGCAACGATAGCCCCACTTGTAACGTGGATGCAATTATGGGAGGTAAGGTTCACAGACAACCCTTTTGTGTGTTTGTAGACTTCTGCATCTCGCCACCGCGTAACCTTTCAGATGCGGACCACAACCGCTGTATACGCGAATCCACCGACGTACTTTCCGTTCAGTCATCAAGGACGGAAACCGAGAGTGAGGACGTGAAAAGCATGAGCTGCGAAATAGGGGAGCATGATTGCACTGCAATAGATTTGACTAGGTCACCAACGCCGTGTGATGAGGCACGTAGTTTTCTCGCATCATGGGTGATTAATACAAACACCTCGGCTTGGGCTGTTAACAAGCTTCTGGAAGGGTTGCGTAAGTTTATACCGTCTCTACAGAAGGATTACCGGACGTTGATGAAAACTCCAAGAACCACTAACGAGATGGAGGTACATCCTGGTACGTAGGGTCACATGGGGATAATTGACGGTCTGAAGATGGCTTACCGGTGCGAAAGTGTGCCCACCTACCAGAGCATTCACCTGCAGTTGCATGTGGATGGGTTCTCACCATTTAATTCATCCGGTGTGCAAGTTTGGCCCATTTTGTGTAGGTCTGTGGCGCCCTTGATATCGCATCCATTTTTGGTTGGTGTGTACTCGGGTCCACGAAAACCGTGGAATGTACACCACTTCTTGGCTCCACTTGTAACTGAATTGAGAACGTTACTTCGAACAGGCGTGATGTTTCCCGGGCGCTCTACACCAAACGCTGTGCGTATCTCCAATATCATTTGTGATGCACCAGCCAGATCATATGTGAAGCGTAGTAAAGCACATTCCGGGTACGGCAGCTGCGACAAATGTGTGCAGCGAGGTGTTTATGTCTCTGGGAAAGTAACCTTCCTTGCACCGATTGCCGCCTACGTACCAATGAGGCCTTCCGTGCGCACTGCCGTAGCAAATGGTCACCATTTGAATACTTGCCCATAGATATGGTGGAGCAGTTTCCTATAGACTATATGCATGCTGTTTGCTTGGGTGTTATGCGACGCCTGATATCGTTGTGGACAACTGCAGCCGCTAGCAAGGATTTTCGCTTGGATATGGACACCGTGTCACGTCTTAACGATGTCCTTGACATGAATCGGTGTCATTGGCCGCGTGATTTTCCACGCCATTGTAGAAGCGTAGATAAGTTCAGATGGTGGAAAGCGTCTGAATTTCGGCAATTCTTGTTGTATGCCGGACCCGCGGTTCTGGCGGATATTTTGCCCCTGGACTATTACGTCAATTTCTTGGATTTGCACTTAGGTATTTATCTGCTTTGTCATCCATTGCTATTCAGAAAATGTTGCTCTTTTGCACATAATGTACTTATGGTGTTTATTTCGCGTTTCTTCAAACTGTATGGGGCTGAAGAAATGACATTCAACATGCATTCCCTGTGTCATTTGGCACAAGATGCGTATGCACATGGGACACTGGATGATTTCTCCGCGTTCCCTTTCGAATCTTACATTAGGTGTCTGAAAAGGCGAATACGAAGCCCAGTGAACATCGTTCCTCAGCTTTTGCGACGGTGTATGGAGTTCCAGAGAAACTTTTGCAATGGTAATCAGCCCTCCAACTTATGTGAAACTGTAGCCCTCGTCGAAATAAATAGGCAAATGGGTTTTAGGTTAAATGGGACCTTGTTTTTCCCATGCAAACCGGACAACGTAATCATCGTAGGAAAGAAACCGTACCAGATAGTATCGTTGCAACCGGACGTTGCTGCAACCGCATATGTTAACTGCGCATCATTCCTACATCTCAGAGACTTATACGTCCATAGTATGCCATCTTCCAGGCTGCACATTTATGTTGCTAACGGTGTGTCTGATGACTTGCGGCGGTTTCCTATTCATGACATCCTATGCAAATGCATATGTTTCACCGTCGGTTTAGACGAAGTCATCATCCCATAGCTGCATACATTTAGAACGCAAAAACCCAGGGTGCCGTAGGTTTGCGTTCTTGTTGATGTATGCAATGATCACAAGGTGTGCGTGCTGCAGGATACCTTTACATATGGTGCTAACGGCATTTGCCGGCTCTGCGTGTTTATTAATAGTGCGTCAACGGCAAGCGATGCCCGCATTAAAGAGTATTGAACGCTATTGCATGCGGCGCTGATTACACAAGGTTGGGTGTCAGCTTACATTTTGCAGGGGCGATTGGACATGCGTTTTATCCGCATGGTATATGTGACCATTTCATTATCCTTATGGTAACACTTCATCTGGAGACGGAAAAGAAAGCAAAATGATTTTGAAAAAGACAAAAAAAATTCAAACATTTTGAAAACTCAAGGATGCGGCCCATGTTGATAACAGGTATTCAAGTACCTCTATTCCTTTGTGCCCACAGACTCCGGTAAGTGCCGCTTTTTGTTATGTCCCAGTTATGCGAGATCATGTCAGTAATTTCCCTTGCACTAACCAACACAGAAAGATGGATCGGAGGGGAACTTGCGACAATCCCGACCTGAGGAACATAGGAAGGCCACGAAGTGATTTAATGTTGTGTATCTGGTACCATTACGGCTGACACGCATTATAATATACTCCTTCCATAGATTACTTCCGAGTGTTCCATCTGTAGTCTGCGGTTGTATGTGTTGTCTGTTTTCCCGCTTTTTCCGGGGGCGTCCAGCAGTTGCATGCTTACGGTAATCACGTATGTAATGGCTTCCACAGATATGCCGCTGTGGGATTACTGCGTTGTCACTTACACGCACGACGGTGTGTCCCAAGTGACCACAATAAGCAGCAGATGGCTGTTGGAGGACGGGCAGCATGCCCTTTTGCCCAACCTTCCACTGTTCGATTACCACCAGGCGGTGCGGGAGCATAGATACCCCATAGCTGATTGCAAAATGTTTCCAGTGACGGTACTTCATCGTACAGGTAAGGACATTCATTTAATCATTTGCAGTGCATTTCGAGGACGCACGCCGAGTGGAAAATACCGTCGGGGATCAACGTCATGGGACGGACACCGATTGCACCATCCCCATGCAAACATCACCGAAACGAGTTATGTAATGCGCTACACAATTGATAACGCAATGAATTGCAGACGCCTGCCGGCGAAACTTCGTGATTACGGGGATGATAATGTACCGACCAGAAAAAAACGGTGCAACGCTCCTGCATCTGCAACCTATGGGAGTTTCCCTGATTTCTCGTTGGAGGACTTGGCGCGGCATCCCATGCCTCCTCTGAATGCTGATGACGTCCAGGAGGATTCACACATGCGTAAGTTCCCTTTTCCGTAATTCCGTTTTCCGCCACAGGTGGATGCAATGAAGTAGCCGTTCAAACGGAGGGTATGAAATGCTGTAAGTCTTCCGGTTTTGCGCTTTAGATACACGCCCTGGCAGGCAGGTGTCATGAATCTGACAAAAGGGTCATGCACACTTTGCACGCTGTGGTCGGTATGTTTGAGCTTCTTACTTGCGACGAATTAGCAGATTCACTTAGACGCGTGGAGGAGACCCTTCACGTATTGAAGGAGAGCCACGCGGCCATGAGCCAGGCCATGTGGACTGCCAAACCAATGCAACCGAATGAGTTATCTCTACCTACCTCATCCATTGAGGAATTCATGGACTTGGAGGGTAAATTGGTGGACCCAGACCTCCGTCGAGAACTGGTAAGTCACCTTGCAGGATTTTCCATTCATGACTTAGACTACCCGCATGAACTGTACACCCGCCGGCACGGTATCGGAGGCTATTCGATACATGTTGGACAGGGTTATGAACAGAGACGTCTTGAGGCAGCTGAACTTCGCGTGTGCAAACAATGCGATACCGTTCAAGAAAACGCACACATTCAGTGCGCTTCAAGGTACCTCAGATAACCTTTCCCACTTTATCTTCCTTCACAGAAGTTATCGTTAACCGATTTGGGGTCACGGGCAACGCCGTTGCGAACGGCGTTTGCAAATGGCTGCAGATTACCCGGAGCAACCTGCACCGGCGTACATCTGCCACATCAAGCAGTCAGGAATGGCAGGTATTGTGTACCTTTAATGCCGTACATAACGGTTTCATTTACAGCCTTTGGATTTGATAGATTTAGATAATCAGAGCATTCGTGAAACACGGACAAACTTGTAAATGTTTACATGCACTTTAATATACATTTGTAACCATTTCCTGGTGTGCTTCAATCGCTCTCTGGTATTTCCGCATATGTTATACGATGTCAACTTCTCGGCGCGTATTGTGACTACCGCTTCCGACTACTGCGTGACTGGAAGGAAGGCACTGCAGGCCATGGTCTTTCATTTATCAAAAGACAGGGACAACTACGTTGCGCGGTTTCATATTTCGCAGTAGCTGATAACCTACGCTCGTTCACATTTGCATTAAGATGTCAGCCAACCGTGGTATACTAATAGCTGCATAGCGATTACTTAGGAGCATTTGGCTAACGCCATAAGGAGAAACCTCTTCCTGTAGGCTTCCCGAAAGCCTTGAATCGCGTCCCTCATGTGAACGTTACCCTTTGGTAAGGTAGCCCATTAACTAAGAGATCTCTTACTTTCGCTTCGTTATTACCAAGAATATCCTTCCAAGTTACTTAAAAGAATTTTAGGATGGCGTCGAAAATCTTAGTATGGCTTTCTAAGTACGAAGAGCAACCTTCGTATATATTGAGAGAAACCTTAGTATAGCTTCGTCAGTAAGGTGACCGACGTTCGTACGTACTAAGAGAATTCACCGTATTGCTTCGTAATTACGGAGCGCAGCCTTCATATTTACTGAGAAAAACCTTCGTATATACTAAGGAAAACCTCCGTATTGCTTCGTATTTACGAAGAGCAGCCTTCGTATTTACTGAGATAAACCTTCGTATTGCTCCGTCAATACGGGGAAACGCCTTCGTATTTACGAAGAGAAACCTTCGTATTTACTAAGGAAACGCTTCGTATTCCCTCCGTCATTACGAAGGCTGCGCTTCGTATTGACG